TCCCTTCCTCCACATGCGCAATGAGATGGTCTATGACAGTGCCTAGAATATTCCTCCAGCACATAATGATTTCCCTCCCAAATGCCATGCCCCCCTCCCCGTTTCAATGGCAGCTGAAGCAGCAGCAAGGCAGAGGCTAACAATACCCATGCTCTAGAATTTAAACTTTAATTTTTACTCCTGACTTTCCAAGTTAACAGATATTCAACTGTTCTCTGGGTAGCCTGGAAGCAACAAGTACATAATGCTTCCCTGTAGTCTGGGACCCTCAGTTTCTGCCTTGTCAGTCTCAGCTCTTACTTTTTTTGATTCTTAATAGTAAGTAGTACATATTTTTAAACAAATGAATCAGGACACTAGAATATCTTGGCACATTTTATAGCATAATTTCTTTTCAGCATATGACAATGATGTATTATAGAATATGATGTCAACTTTAAGAATAGAGTTTTACATTTGCTTTAATTCTCTATTTTATCTTATAGGTCCACCCTTTTCTTTGTGGCATTTCTTTCCTATGTATCAACAAGAAATGACTTTTCTATTTCAAACTATTCTGTGTGATTTAAAAATGGTTCACATATTCCTTAGCATTTCTAGCACATGATAAAAATTGTCTTTAAAGGATTTATGCAACACCCTATCTTAGTTTTGCATGCTCCAATCTTTAATTTTTGAAAAGTATAATCTTAATATTTTTCCCTGATTTCTGTTGAAACAGAGAGTAACAGTGCTGGAACATGGACTCTTAATGTGCTGTGGAAGATGTGTGGCATTGATGTACACATGGATCCTAACATTGGGAAAAGATTAAATGCTTTAGGAAATACTCTCACAACTTTGACAGGGGAAGAAGATTTAGATGACATTGCTGATTTAAACTCCATTAATATAGCTGACCTATCTGATGAGGATGAAATTGATACAATGTCTCCCACTGTTAGCATGGTCAGTGAACTAATCCTTCATTCATTCATTTATTACATTGACAATAAAAACAAGTAATATATTATGCAACTCAGCAATGGTGCATAGTTATGCAAACTTTAGTTGTCGTATCCTTTTCTTCTATATATATGTTATCACAGAATAGTGTTAATCACTAAAGTGCTTGTTATATTTAGCAGTGCTGAAGATATATTTGTTAACTAAAAAACAAAGGACTTGGTTTCTTGCTGGTAACTTACATTATCGAAATAGAATTCTTAAATGTACATATACGTTCACAAACCTTATAAATTATTACTAACTTCAAAATATGAATTGGTAGTTAAGGAAAACAAATCTAAAGTACCCTGGATTTCCAGAACCAGTTTTGCAGTAATTATTTGGTGAAAGATGCACACTGTGAACTCAAGGTTATTTGAAATTAGCTCAGTTTGATTACCCAGAATAGTATAAATTCAAATTGATTGACCATTTTGAATTATGACAAATAGTAGCATTTATCACAACATAGGAGACGGAAAGCAAGTCACACTGACAACATGCAGTTAGGGAATAACACTAGCATATTTAGGCAATATCTGAATAAAGTTTAACGAAGATGTTTTTAAAAAATAGTACAGGCAGAGAAGGGGCAGACAATAAGAAAAATGGAAATTTCATTTCCTGAAGTATTAATTTTGCTATTTATTATCATTTAGAGATCAGATGGTGGTTCTTTATATGGAGACATATGCAAACTCACTTTGGGGCAGCGGATTGTAAATCACCTCTTGGGTTTGAGCCCCAAAAGTCAACGTTACTCTGTTCCTGTAGAATATCTGGTGGGATCAACAGCAAGTTATACATCTTATGCAAACGGTTCACATTTACAAGTGGGCAGGTCTTGCTCATGGGGACATGTATGTAGCATGTGTAGTATCTCTTTAAACAAATGATGAATATATGGATATTGGCAAATCAAAAATCATCTGACTTCTTAAACTGATTCTGCATGTATTTTGATTGGTGGTGCTAAACTTCTTCTGACTTCATCTTAGTCATGAAAACTGCTTGTGAGCAATGAAGTAAATGCTTTCATTTTTAAAACAGGAGAATGCTGACTATCGGAAGCAGGGATCATCTAACACTCAGCCTGGAGAGCAAAGAGGAAGAAAGTATGTGAAGCGCTTAGTTGATATCAGGGAGTTGAATGAACAGGCTAAAGTAATTGATGACTTAAAGTAAGTATGTTGTTTCCAAACAACTTTTACAATCAAAATAAATTGTTTATTTTTATTTTATAAAGATTTAATTAAGAGGCTCTCAATCTTTGATTTGACCCCTCCCTAAGCAGTTTTAAATCGAGGAATTACAATCTTCTTGTAAAGCTAATCAGAGTTCAATAGGCAAAGTAGGAATGGTGTGAAAACTGACTCCCATTTTGCTTGCATGAACTCTGAGCAAGTCTTAACAGTGTGCCAACTTTACCTGTGTAAGAAATGGGAATACTTTCAAAACCTACTCCTGCTTTGCCCGCATAATCCCACAGTGCAGTGCCCCTAGAAAAGTGTGAACTCACTGTCAAAATTTGCTAGACTCTTTGTTCCACATCTGCATGTGCAAGCCCCAATCATTTTTGGGAGTAGCTAATTCCATGGGATGCACAAGGGTCATACTATAAATGACAGTTTCCCACCAGTGTTTAGTGAGTGAGTGTATAGTAGCATAATTGTTATTGGAGTGCCAATGGTAGTGTACATTAATGACACTTTTGTTAATTATTTCATATTTCTAGCTTTTCAAAAACTAAGTTTTGATTGGGAAAAAATGTCTAAAAACCAATCTCTACATATCACTGCTAAAATAAGCTTAAGTTAAGAAAATAAGATAAAGATTCTGTGTATTTTAGAAAGTAATGTATTTGGCTGTTGCCCAACATTAATTCTAGAGAAATTGTTAAATATATTATTGTTTTTTTTCTCCAGAGATTGTGGTGTCGCTCAACCGAAGACCCTGTGCTTTAATTAGTGGTGCCTGACAGAATTCTTTTTTCAATTTATACCCTCTGCAAAAAATTACAGGTCACCAATAAAGGAGAATATTTGTAGCTCAGGGTTAAAATGAAGGGTCCTTGGTGCTCTCTGAGCTTGCTGTTTTCCAGAGTGGGAGGAGGGAGTGATCACGTGTGGGTTTTATCTTAGCCTGATTGGTCCAAGACTGAGAGCAAAGTTATAAATACTGGTGCCTGTCCACTCCTGGCCCAGATTCTCTCAGTCTGGTCCAAGTACTGTTAGATAGGTGTTTAGGTAGGAATTTTTTTCCTTTGTTTAGTCCTTTTGCGATCTGGTTTCCATTTGGCTAATTGGGCACTTTAAAAATTTCAAACTTCCAAATTGTTACTGCTGCGGTCCCAAGGGACAGATCTCTGCCTCAGGCGGCTGGGGGAGGGCCCTGTGGGGCGTTTTGGTCTTCCCCCCGCGGGCCAGGAGCCTCAGCCCTATCCCCGGGAGCACGGGAGTGCCAGCTCCGGTCTTCAGCTGCTTCCCAAGCAGCTCTCTGTGCAGCAGCGCGGCAGGAGCGGCTTCGGCGCCACGTGGAGCGTGCGAGCTGCCCGCCTTACAGCTGATCGGCTCGGGCCGCTGCCGCTCCGCCGCTTTTTGTTTAAATTGCTGTGGGGGCCATGCGGGGGTGAGGAGAGCGTGCCTGAGTGCCGCGTGGCTCTCCCCGACCCGATTCAGCGCGGCGCTGGCTCCTGGAAGCCCGGCTGAGCCGCTGGTGTCTTTGCTGGCCTTTTCGCCCGCGTGTGGGGTTCCGGCAGCCATTTTGGTGGTCGCCACGTGTGCAGGGCCTACTTTGGCCTACCTTGGGGGTGAGGCCTTGCACGAGGCTTCGGGCCTGAGTTTCCCCACAGACCCATAGGCCCTGGTTTCAGTGGGACTTCGAGGCCTGTGTTCCAGCCCCTTTGTCGGAGACATGAGTTGGCTATGGACGAGGGGGCGGAGATTCCCCAGGGCCAGGTGGTGGGCCCAACTGGGGGTGAGGAGGCCCTGGATCAGGAGGTGGGGTGGGGTGCACCCCCCCCCAGGGATCCTTGGTCACCAGGCGCCCTTCTAGGTCATCCACTAGGGAGGAGGCCAGGCGGCATAGGGCACTGGAAAAGACCTTTGCGAGGGCGGAGAGGCAGGCCCTGTCGGCCAGGCCTTCATCCCGGGACAGGTCCAGGTCTCCCCTTGGACCTGTATCCAGCAGATCTTCCCCTAGGGGGTTTAGCCCGGCTTCTTCCTCAAGCTCCCCTGGCAGGTCTCGGGCCTACTCTATGAGGAGGCGTTCTCCATCCCCTGTAGGTGATCCCCTGGAGGGTACGTCCAGGGGCCCCTGTTCCTCNATAAAATAAAATAAACCATATTGAAATAATAAAGTAAAATAAAATAAAATAAATAATAAATTAAAATAAAATAATAAAATAAAATATAAAATAAAGTAAAATAAAATAATAAAGTAAAATAAAATAATCAAAATCCATAAAAATGAGCAATGCGTTAATCAAAAAGTATTAGCCACTATCTTGCCTATTTCGATCCCTGCCCAGCCAGAGTCCCTGATCATGGATTCTTTATTATAAAATCCTATATATTGGATAACCATATAAGATCAATGCTAAGAATAAATTTCTTTACACAAACTTGACCAAAAGTCCAGAGTATAATAGATCGGGAGTTGGGACCTTGATAGAAATTCTAAAATATTCAGGATATTTTGCTTTAAAGACTCATGGGGTCACCTCTTCAATTATTTTTCTAGGTCAAAAATTCTTAAAGGGTGGTCAGGGAATCCCTGGGTAAGGGGTCTTTGAGGCCCCTTTCAGAGAATCTGTGGATAGGTGACTATTTTAACATTTACCAGTTTTAATGTCTAATGCAGTAAATATTGATAGATATATAACTCACATAAACCAAAACTCTTTAGAGACCTCTGTCGTTTTTTAAGAATGCAAAGGGCACCTGAGATCAAAATGTTTGAAAAAAAAATGTTCCGAGTGATAATAGAATCCTGCCAGCTCAAAGGATGAATATGTTCCAAATAGCATCCAAAATTAAATCAGAGTCCAAGGCAAAGTATTCCTCAAAGTTCCAATTTATTTAGAGAGCCATGTTGCACATCTGGGAAAACCCGAATCTGAAAGCTTCCAAGTTTTCCCCACCCAGTTGTAAGTTCAAGATCTTGCCCCCACAAGTCCATCACATCCATGTGGCAGTTCCAGCCATCCAGTTCCGGTCAGGTGCAGAGATGCAGAGACAAAGGATGACCTTGGCTTTCTAGAAAGAATTTTGTTATGGCTACATCGCATCTAACTCCATACAACCCCCTCCTCCCATTTTCCCATAATAGAAAATGCATAGTAGAATAATAGAAAGTGTGGCAGGCCAAAGATCCAAAAGAAAAGATGGCTGCAGGCCTGACAGAATATCTGGCTGGATGAACAGAGAGAAGGAAAAAAAAAATTATACGCAATAATATGATACAGGTATTCTTCGACTTACGACTATATTTAGCGACTGCTGGGAATTATGACGACATGAAAAATAAAAGACTTACAATTGGTCCTTGCACTTGCAACCTCATACCATTCCCGCAGTCAAATGATCAAAATTTGAGCATTTAGCTATTGGCATATACAGTATTTACGACAATTATAGTATTTCTGGGTCCTGTGATTACCATTTGCAATCTTAGTGGCTGCTTCCGACAAGCAAAGTCAATGGGGGAATCCAGATTCGCTTAAACGACTGCATGATTCACTTAACAGTGGCAGGGCTTTGCTTCACAATCATGAAAAAAAA